TGGCATTCGACTAATAATTTGCCATTGATTGTAAAAAAAAACATACCAAAATCACCAAAACTACGAAGTTGAAAATGCAGTATTATTTTCCAGAACGCGACAAAACTTCGTTTACAAGGTCTTGAACAGTTACAATGGAGACAAAGGAAAGTGTGGCACAGATTTAGAAAGAGATTTGCCGAAATTTTGGGTAAATTAGAACTCTGGCAATCTCCGATGCGCGTCATTGAAGGGAAATTTGGCACCGGAGTTGTCTCGTATTTTCTCTTTTTAAGATGGCTTTTCTTCTTAAACATAGCTCTATCTCTCTTCATAATACTCTTTCTTATTCTCCCAAATTCTTTGATACAAGATATATGTGAAGATTGTGATGATAATTCAACTATGTGTTGCTCTTTTGACAACATAACCTCAAATAATATCGTATTAGATTTAATTCAAGGCACGGGATGGATGGAATTTACAATGTTATTCTACGGTGTGTACAGTGATAAAATTTACGTTTATAATTTACCTAATTTATGGCAAAATGAAATGTTTTACAATATGCCTTTAGCGTATATTTTAGTGCCGATCGCATGGGCGTTGTTATCTTTGGTCGCGATAGTGAAAACGGGGGCTAAAGGTTTTAAAGAGAAATTAGTGGAAAATGAAGGGCAATTTTATTTATATTGCAACCTTGTATTCGGTGGTTGGGATTTTTGTGTACACAATACAAAATCGGCTAAAATAAAACATAAAGCTTTGTTCAATGAAATTAAAGGATGCTTACAAGAAGAAATATATAAAGAAGAAAAACAATCTAGAACAAGAGAAGGAACAATTCTTCTTTATTTAAAAAGAATCTTTATAAATATATTCGTATTAATTATTCAATTAATATGCGGTTTGATTATTTATAAATCTTTTAGTTATTCCACGGAAACATTATATAAATATAGAGAAGATATAAATAAAACTCTACCCGACTTTGTCTATGATAATTCTTTAAATCAAATCGAAAATATATTATTAGAATTCCTACCTTACATATGTATTGTTTTATTAAATTTATTCGTACCAGAAATATTCGGTTATTTAATTAATTACGAAAATTATAAACCACGCCATATTATATTAATAACTTTATTAAGAACAGTTTTACTAAAATTAGCATCTTTAGCAGTTCTACTAAGTCAAATATATATGCAAGTTAATGGATTAGTTGAATCCGATATACGATTTGATTGTTGGGAAACTTATGTAGGACAGCAATTTTATAAATTATTACTAACAGATTTTGCTGTACAATTTTTTATAACATTTTTCTTAAATCTTCCCCGAGCGTTTATTGGTCGACATTCAAATAATCGATGTCTACGTAACATTGGTACACAGAGTTTCTATTTACCGAAACATGTTTTAGACATTGTATATATTCAAACTATAATTTGGATGGGTACATTCTTTTGCCCCTTTCTACCTATAATCGGAACAATATTCTATTTCCTAATTTTTTATATAAAAAAATTTAATTGTTTAATAAATTGTACCCCATCACCGATATTATACAGAGCATCGAAATCGAAATCTTTGTTCATGTCAGTGTTGTTACTAGGTTTTGTGATATCGATAGGACCTGTCGCTTATTCGATAGCTGAAATGCCACCATCATCTAATTGTGGTCCATTCAAATCGTATGGAACTGTATGGGATTTTGTTATAAAAACATTTAATATGTTTCCACCGATTGTTAGAGAGATTGTGTTTTTAATCGGAACATCAACATTCGCGGTACCGGCGTTTGCGATAGCTTTATTTTTGTTATATTATTATTGGGCCGTAGCAACGGCTAATAGACATATGGTGTCAGTTTTAAGAAATCAACTTGTTTTAGAAGGACACGATAAACAGTTCTTATTAAATAGATTAAGTGCATTTATAAGGCAGCATCAAAAAAGATGTGAACGCCGTAATAGAGCTAGTTTCGCAGACGATGACTCATCAATTAGGCAGGGATCTAAGTGAATCTAAGTTAACTAGTCGTTTAGACGTAATGTAAGTTAGTCTAAGTTACAGGACTACATTTATGTGTAAAAAGATCTTAAATTAATAGCGTATATTAGCTTTGTTTTAGTGTTAAACAGGATGCTCAAAGATATGTTTATATGAATTTATTTACCTTCCGGACATCCTGTATACAATTGTATAGTGTCAACGTTAGTTTTAAAGTACTCAATAAAATTATTATGAAAAAAAAGTCGCAAAAAATCGTACAATATATCGATATTTCGTTTCACATCCCTACAGTTAGTGACATCTGTCAAAATGGTTTTTTTTTAATTTACAATGTTATTTTGCATTAGATTTTTATTTAATACTAGCAGTCGCCCGCGACTCCGTCCGCGCGGGATTAAAAATAAATGTGCCGATTCTCAGACGTACTCAATATGCTCACAAGATTTCATGAGAATCGGTCAAGACGTTTCGGTGGAGTATGGGAACGAAAATTGTGACACGAGAATTTTATATATAAGATACTATGATGCAATTTTTTCTGTAAATAAATTTCTTGTTCCACTGAGTTTCTAAGACCAATATCTCTGTAAAACATATCGTCATTCCTGTTTATCTTTGACAACACAGAGTTATTTTAAACGGAGATTTAGGTCTCGGAAACTCACTATAAGTGTGCCATTTTTTCAAATAAATACGACAAAAATATCCGCGACCATTCGTCCAATTTATAATGCAAGTTTGATTTAAAACTGACCACATAAGTAATTTTACATTCTTTTTTTTTGTTTAATAACATTCCTTCTTTTTAATTTCATAACAAAAGTACAAAAATATTCCTTAATAAGAAATATTTATTATTGCCAATTTATTTATTAGCGCAAATATTAAAAAAGCCCATTATTTATTTATTATTATACATTATAGCCCAATTTAGTCCAATTAGATTTTTTTTTCTCGCTGTAAATTAAAAAAGCGGCAATTTTTTTATTCGATGATTTTTTTTATTTTTTCCAAGCAAATTATGAAATTCAGATTGGAAAAAAT